TAATATAGTTAACATGTATTAAGATCGGCTTATTAGAAAAAACATTTTTTTTTGAGGTACCAAGTTTTTTTTTTTTTTTTTTGGTTCAGCTTTATTTTTGTTATACTGTTGTCACTTGTGATCCAGCTCAAACTTATATGGTTTAAACAAGTGATATGTAGACTTTTAACTAATATAGTTAACATGTATTAAGATCGGCTTATTTAGCTAACACATGAGGTTTTATCATGGCTGACAGGGAAGGGGGACAGTTGCAACAGTTGCTGCAACTCTCCCCATACGATAAATCCATWTAAAAACAGAGCACATACAGATATTAAGATGTTGAAATTGAGTTTACACTTAAAAGGGTACTGGGTATTTATGACAATAACAGTATTTAACATGTATTTTCTGTAGTTGTTTTCAACAATGGTTTTAAAATCCCAGTTTCTTTCAATGTAAAATATGCATAATGTAGGTGTACAGTGACAATAGGCAAAACAAAAGTTAATTGCCTCACAAATTGTTCTATTATCCTTGTCTCTAAAAGTCAACTGTATTTTATATCAATCAGTCTTTGACATCTGTATATAAGGCTCTAGGCAAAAAGAATTAATAACACTGTAATATCATTATAAGTTACAGTTCTTATGAATTTAGCAATAATATAAATATAAAAATAGTAAAACTTTTATTTACAGTGAAATATATTGTATTAATATGTTGCAACCACCCCCATACAATGTTGTAACTGGCCCCGGGGTCAGTTGCAACATCTGACTTTTCATTTTCAAATGRAAATTGTGAAGAATGTACATGCTTCAATCATCTTTAGATGGTTTTGACTATTAACAGACATATATGTTTATTGTATTAACATTTGGTTTGTCTAATTCAAACTGTCCCCGGTCTCCCCTAGCGAAGCTCGCTGCAACCTGAGATGTGATAATTTTGGAACGGGAAGAGAGCCAAACTTCTTTTCAAAAACCTGTGCCATTTGTCAGATGTTAAGAAGAGCCGGGGCTCTTGTGATCAAAATCCGCTGGGCAAGAAATAAACCTGGACATAATTGCACGCTGTCAAGCGAGAAGAATGGATGTCCGATTTGAAAAGAATCCACAACAGAAAGGGTCAAACATACAGGAGCTGTTCATGTGGCTCAGTTATATTTATCCCCTTAATTGATTCAATAAATGTGTGGCGCCACCTGTAGATTACTCCATGACTCCGCTGTACAAGCATATTAGTTACACTTGGTCCATTTATAGGCGCATATAGGCCATGTGTGCATGCATTACAGTGTGTAGCATCAACATACAAAAACCTCTTTAGTGAAGTTGAGCTGGAAATAACATGTGGGACTGAGGCTAGACGAACGACAATGCAGCCATCAAAAGAACAGGAGCTTTATAATAGTGGAAATGGTCATTTTTAAAACAGCATGTTACAGATCTGAATTTTAAAAGTAAAAACCACCATAAAACAAAACAAAGCCCTTTTTTCAGAAAAGAGCATGACATCTTAAAAAAGAAAATTAAAAAGTTTGCTGCTTAGTTGTATTTTCAGTGTTGCTGGTGAAATCTATAGCTGAAACTGTTTTTTTTTACAAAGTACCTGAAAATCTTCTGATGTTTGGCAGCACCATTTTACTATTTGCATAACAGAAAACTGGCCAGTATAACTTAGCTCCTTTTTTTAACTTCTCATCAAAAATTTACTGACAATGTCTGAGTTGTGTCTTTGCTTCTATGAACATCTTTAGGATACACGTTTGTTCTAAAAAAAAAGTCACAAGAAAGAAGTTAAATTTAAAATCTCTTTTTTAAAAAAAGTTGTTACTAAATCGATAAGATCATGTATAAATGACCTGAGTATACACAATCATTTAGTACTTTTCTCAGATTTTTTTCTTCAGAAAATAGTCCATAAAAATGCGAAGAACTAAGTATTTTACAGAACTCAGTATCGTCTCCATTTGCTGTCATAATCTCGGTTGCCACGGTTGTTTCCTCTGTTGTCGTAATGACGGTTGCCGCTCCTGTCGTTTTGGTGGTAGTTTTCCCGCCCGTGGCCGTGCTGCTGCTGACGACCGGAGCCTTGCTCGTCCCCGTAACGCTGGCCTCTGTTCATCTGGGATGGATGGTATCGATGGCGGCTGTTGTCTTGCTGCCTTTGGTCACCTCTCCCAGAATTCCCTGCGAAGGAGTGCCGCTGCAGAGGTTTGGAAAAGACTTCGCTCAGCTGCTCGACTTGCTGCATCTGAAACTGCCACAACATGTTGTTCATCTGTGGATAGAGAAACAAACAACCCTTAGCTTTAAGCAGTTTAACYTTTTATTTTCTTCTATTCTCACGATTCTGCACCTTTATTTTTTAAAATCAAACTCTAAAGTGCTTTGATTTTATTGGTGAAGCAAAGTCATATTGTTACCATGGCGTTCTTCTGCAGGCTATCAGGAGATGAGAAGGACCTCTGCATCTGGTGCGGAGGAGTGTATGGTGGAGAACTGAACTGGACTGGGGTCCTGTAAGAGAGCAGCAAACCACTGTTAAATACTAAAATACTGTATGAAAGACTAAAGTTTTAGTACTCAGAATGACATGTACTTTGTGTCTTTATTTTATATCTAAAGCACGTGTCAAACTCAAGGCTCCCGTCTGGCCCGCTGGGGGTTCCCCCTCCAAAAAAATATAAATAAATAAATAGAAATTATACATACAAATTTAAAAAATTGTCTTTAAGTAACTGAGCAATTTAGTTGGATAGCTCAGTATGAGCTGCTTTAAAGTCAGCATCGACCATACACTACATCTACATCTACATCTCCCATGCATGTTGATCATCCATGGGAATTATCTGTCAGGAAGTGGGAGAGTTCAGAATTCAAGATGGCAGCTACTCACCAGAAACTCATCAGTGAGTAAAACTCTATTAGTTTTAATTTTAATGGAATTTCTGTATTATTTCTTTCAGATTTAGTCAGTCGTACACTTAGCTCTGGTCAGTGTTTAAAAGAGGACAAGATAAAACACTGTTTAATCAAAGTTAAACATGAAATGTCAAAGTTAACTGCAAGTGGCCCTTTGAGGGCCACCATAACTCTCATGTGGCCCTCGGTGAAAATGAGTTTGACACCGCTGATCTACAGTAATCTCTGCTTCTAAAGACAAAAAAAAAAAAAAAAAAAAAAATCTAATTGTCCATGAACGTGAAACTTGGGAAAACTGACAAGATCAAGATCATGTTTACTATGTTAAAACACTTTTTTTAAACAACAGTAGCTACCCAAACTGTGATTTAAATGATCAATATTAGATTTTAGTGTTGACAGTTAGAAAGCCTTATTTCTAACATAACTGACCCCCATACAAACAAGTCATATGGAATAACTCAAACCAAAACCCAGCTACAGATTAAGTGAGTCAAGGGTCAAATATTTAAAAATCATCAATGATTACTAATGATTTGTGAGCATTTACACATGTACAAGGTCAGAACAAACATCTCCAAATTTAAGTTAAAGAAAAAACAGGTGTCACATCCATCTAATTAAAAATGAATAAATAAACACCATTTAAACAACCAGAATCTTTCTTAACATTCTGACATTTGGCAGCTCTACCACACTTGTAGGTTTTAAAACCATCCCATGCTTCATATTGCCACTGACCAGAATTAATTACAGGAACTTTGAAAATATTGTGCTGACAATCAAATAAGATTCTGCCAGTTGTGAAAAAAAATAAACAGAAATTTTGTGAAATATGATTCATATTAATCTTTTATTCGAGTTTTAATGGGCTTCATGGCTATTTTTAATTAAGACTTAAATTACACCAATTCAAGTATGCATTTTAAAAATTTTACACTTTTACAAATAGTTAAACTGATTGTTAAACTGACTGTGGCAAACTTTTTATCCTTATATCCCACACACTACCGCAGAATCAACTCTCCTCCTCTCACATGCTTTATTTCCCTGCAGCTCTTGTCAGCTGTTAATAAGCAGTCAGGCTTTAGCCACCATGCTACATCATTGTGTAATTAGTAACAAACCATTAGAGAGACAATAAATTAGCGTATAAAACTGCCTCGTGCTGGGTTTTAGTTTACCWTGTTAGCGTAGTTAGAGTACTTAAAGCGAAATGAAGCACTTTTACTGATAATGCAGGACAATAAAACATTTTCACTGTTGTTCCAGCTGTGCTGCAAATATGAAGGTTTTAAACAAACATACTTGACAAAAAAATCTAAACAAGTGCAAAACTGACAAAAACAGTAAATAAACAAGCATTGTGTTTCACCAAAAAGAAAAAAAAAAGGCATAAGAATTGCATTTTAGAATAAAGCTACAAACAATTGATTTGTTTAAATTAAAAACACTGTTCAAAGTGAAACAGGAGTTGTAAATAATTTGTACTGTAACTTGATGCTTAATGTGGCTCCTGATTCTATCAGATAAAAATGTTTCCAAGAGCCTCTCACCTTTGACCGTGGGGATTTGGAGTACTTGCAGGGCTTGAATTTTGTGAGTTTCCTGGGCTGTTATGACTGCTACCTATAATGGAGTTAAACAGTGAGTTTATTAATAACGTTTGTTATGAGCCTTATTAAATACGCCTAAAACAGTATTGTTCAAAACAACTACTGAATACTTACATTAGGACATTAATGCTTTGTCTCACATTTAACACTAAAGCTACATTCACACTGCAAAAAAGTGACACAAATCCCACTTTTTTTACCCATATCTGACCCATATCAATTATTTGATGACTGTCTGAACGTGACAAATCTGACCCACACTTTTTCCAAATTTGATACAAAATCGGACACATAACACTGCATTTCATGACATTAACATCACTGAGGTAGATATACAGATTGGTTCAGATTCAGATACTGATATTGATACAAACATCATGCAGTTATTGCTTGAAACGTTCTACACCTTCAGCAGCTACAACAGAAATACACCTGCTTTGTCTATTTTAAACTTTCTAGATTTGTCATGTCCTAAATGACTGAGAATTTACACCATTTGATGCCAATGGTGGTATTCTAATGTGTTGGATCATATCAATGCCAGCATGATGAGATCAATRGTTTTTTATTCTCTACTTTTAGTATGTCGCTCCCATTCCAGATGTGTGATTCTGCACGAGAAGAGAGGAAGTTGTAAGATCAAATGGAAAAATTACAAAACAAACAAACAGACATTGAATGAGTTGGTTCTGATTGCTCAACAACTTCATAATAAATCTACAATTAGGGCTGCGCGATTATTTGATCGCAATTATTGATCGAGAAAAAAATTCAGGTCGATCACGTTGATCAGCTGTGAGCCGCTTAGTCGATCAAACATGACGGAAATGTGCACGACAACAGCCAATCAGAATCCTCCTGCTCCACTTCTGTTTATAAGTTGTTAAGGAAATGCAGACAGAATCGCAGAATTAACCAAAGTAATCAAGTAAAGAACGCTGAATCTCACAGAGTTGCTTATTTGGACGAAAAAAGAAAAGTGAGCCCTAAAACAAAAGCCTCCTCCAAAAATATGAAGTGGTCTTAGGGTAACGTTTAGGACAGAACAATGTCCCAGCGGTTCTTCWTTTATCTGGAGAAGAACTTTTCTATAAGTTTTATCGGCACACGACGGGCTGGACGAGACATGAAGACCACTTCCTGTCTGAGTCTCATCACAAACAGCAGCTGAGKGACGCTGCAAACTCCTGGGGGTTCCTTCCATAACAAAAGTAATGAGCTTAGATCCTATTCGGTTGGCAAGTGTGCACAAATTGTTGCTGTTTGTTGGGTTTATGCTTCTTTATGCCAAATTTAATGTGAAATTCAATTCTAAAACTTTAATTTTACAAAAGAATAACTTTATTAATGTGAGATTCTAGGATTTACACTTTTTTTTTGGGAAATACCTTTTTAAATACCTTGCAAAAATACTTTCATGTTCTACTGAACCACAGCTATTTGTTATATTAGTGAAAGTAAAATAGCCATTTTTTGTAGCTATTTATTTAGTAAAGTATTTTTCAGTCACTTTTAAGGTTAACAAAAAAAATTGTGATATTAATCGAGATCGGACGATATGAAAATATTAATTGTGATTTTTTTTTTGACATATCGCCCAGCTCTATCTACAATACATCTACTAATATTTTGAGCTCCATATTTTAGTTTGGCCCTTCTCTAACATGAAAATATTCAATTCAATTCAGTTTATTTATATTGCGCCAAGTCACAACATACGTTGTCTAAGGGCACTGTACATGAAAAAATAACAATCTAAAGAAGAAGCCAGCAGATTGTGTTGAATCACTTCATCACAGTCTCCCATCCTGAGCAAACGGTGGYGAGGAAAAACTCCCCTTTAACAGGAAGAAACCTCCAGCAGAACCAGGCTCAGGACAGGRGGCCATCTGCCTCGACCGGCTGGGTTGGGGGACAGGAAAGAGACAGACAAACACAGAAGAACTGGTCCAGGTGCACCTTCTTCAGGAAGAGACACAAAAAGAAAAAAAACATGTTATTGATAGAAATAATTGCAATAAACATGTAAAGAAGAGAGACTAAAGACAACAGCAGAGTGAGGAAATGTGCTCAGTTTGTGCTCCAGCAGTCTAAGTCTAAAGCAACAGAAATGAAGAATAATTCAGGAAACCTAAGTCTAACTATAGGATTTATCAAAAAGGAAAGTCTTCAGTCTAATCTTAAAAGTAGACAGAGTGTCAGCCTCACAGACAGAAACTGGAAGTTGGAAAATGAAGAAAGCTGGAGGCCAACAGTTTAAGATAAAGAAAGTAAAACGTGAAGCAGGTTGTGCAGGTCACAATTTACCAGTAATTTTTTTAAGTCATAAATCAAACACACATCCATTTTTTGCATACCACCAAGTGAAAGCAGAAGTGTCTTTATCAGCAATTATAAAGAGAGTGATGACTTGTGTGTGAATCTTTGTCCTACATTATAAATATTTTATCTTTGTGATTCTCTTTGTGTCTCTGTTAACCTATGTTGAAAACCAAAACTCATAAAATGTTTACATGAGTGGGAAAAAAAAGACTTTTAAAATGTTGAGACTTAATTTAAATCAGTTTTATCACAATACTGTCACATTTGTACCATCTTGACTGAATTATTGATTTGATTACAGTAACCACCTCAGGCTTAGCTCACTGTATCTTGTTTATAGAAGGTGATTATTTTTAAAGACGAGACAGCCTGCAATAAAGTGGTCAAACAAAACCAAGTCCAAAAACAGAAGTGGATTATACCAAGTGTGCTGATATAACATTTTCCAAAAGCCTGTTTTACAACTTTAAATTCTGAACTCAAATGTATGATAGCATTTGATCATTATATGGTGAGCAAGAATTTATGAGTGATGTAAAAAAAAAAAAAATCCAATGTAACACAATGACTTACGGTCTTCCCCTGCATTTTGTATAAAAAAAGATGTTTGAAGTCACACTGGCTCACACAGTGAGCTTAGTTTAAAGTTTTTTTTTTTCATTAACCAGTTCAGGTTCCCTGATAAAATAGAATTAAACTTATTTGTTTAGTGCTGATGATACCACCTCATGTTTACGTTGTGAAGTTAAATTAATCAGAGGTTTTATGTCGGTCTGCACTAAGTGAATGTGTTGTCTGAAGGTAGGACTAACTGGTGAAAGAAATGGCATCTGTATATGTAAATGACACAACACACTCAGTGTTTGCCTAATTGTTAACTCATATACATGTGAGAAATAAAAAAAAAGGTATAAAATCAGTAAATTTAATTAAAAAAACTATTGTAAATAAATAACCTGCATGCAATTATTCAAGCAGTTAGGTGGTTTCGGATAATCAGGGGTTATCTTTGTTACTAAAGCTGTTTCTGTAAAGAGCTACAAGGAGGAACTGATTGATGAGATTGTATACAGAGTTTTTCACTAAGGAAAATAATAACCAAGATGTTTTTATTCAGAAAATTAAACAGTGGACCTCTTTACCACAGTTTATCTGGCAGTTCTCATCTTGTCAAATAGGTTTTAAGAAAATGGTTTCATGAAACTGAATTGAAAAAGTTTGTTTTCGGAAATAAATCACACTTTATATTATGGTTTACAAATATGCAGTATGCGTTTTTAAAAACACACATTTCCCCCATTATATTTTGGATGCTGATTTTGTTCAGACAAAAAAATAAAAAAATAAAAAAAATAAAAAAAAACTTCAACTACTGAGGTAAACATGAAGAGTTAACATGTTTCATTTGTTAAACATTCCTGTTTGCTACTGCACCATGTCTCTTGAATAAACAACCTCGAAAACAGCAAACCCCTTTATTACAGCCCATGTTCAAACATGCTTCGACAACGTAAAGTCAACGAATAATTTTCACCAGTGGTTTTATTGTGAACAGATGTGAGTTTTATTTGGAGAGAAGGGGGGAAGCTCACCTGTTTTGAACTGCACCTGGAGGCTTTTCCCGTACAGAGACGTGCCATTTAGCAGCTGCATTGCATAAGGCACGGACACTTCATGTTTATAAACAGCAAAACCGAATGTTTTCTGTTTCCCATCGGCGTCTTTCGGAATTTTTGTTCTGACAAGAGGTCCTGCCTGCAAAACACCAACAAATCGTGCTTGAAACGTGAACAGAAATTGATAATAGCAATAACAAACTAAACACTACCAACACAGTTAACGGTAAGCGTTTAACCAATATCATTAATTAATAAAACTATAATAATAATAATAATAATAATAATAACAATAATAATAATGCATCTTATACAATAGTCCATTTCGGATAAAAACACAAGTAGCGCCGACACACACAGTTTGTAAGCATTAGCATTAGCCTGCATTTAGCATTACGTTAGCTTCATTTCGACCGCACCTGTAAAAACAGCTCAAACAGAAGCTCCTCCGATACTCTTGTGTCTATATTTCTTATGAAGAGCGTGCGGTCCGCCTCGTCCTCAATCCCCATTGTACTGGAGCTGTTGGTCAACCACTTTTTGTTATACAAACACAGCGTCAATCTAACATAACAAAAACACAGCTGCAATATTGCGGGCCTTCCGTTTTCTTCTTCTACGAAATTGAGCGTACAGCAAAGGAACAACACTGTCTATACCGCCACCTACTGTACCGGCGAAGGTAATGTAATGTAATATAACGCAATGTAATATAACGCAATGTAATATAATGCAATGCAAAGTAAAGTAAAGTAAAGTAAAGTAAAGTAAAGTAAAGTAAAGTAAAGTAAAGTAAAGTAAAGTAAAGTAAAGTAAAGTAAAAGTAAAAATTGTCACATAGTTTTTGCTGTTTGAAATCACACGAAAAGGTACTAGTATAAAGACAAGAGATAAGCAGATCACATGCAGCACATTGATAAACCTCATGCACTTCTAGGCCAGAATTTAAAAGCTGGAATGAATGCTGCATAKAACCATAGATKTAAACAAACAAACAAACAAACAAAAAAGCATTGATATGCAATGGAAAATAAAACTGATATGCAATAAAATATATTTGTGTCTAACTAAAGTATGTTATTCTTGAAAAAAAGACTATATTTGCTTTTAACTGACAGAGCAACTCTGTTGTACTCTATCACACCTATTTTAAAGCAGTTTCTTGAATATTATGAATATCACACACTGCTGAAGACAATAAAGTTTTAACTATGTAAGTTTGTTTGTCTTTGCTTTTAGTAAAATATATAATGAAATAGCAGGCAAATTTTAATAAAACTCTCAAAAAGTAATCAATAAATACACATCTACAAATAATGAACTTTTGGAATCAAGATTTTTGCCACAGCTAAGCAACCTTTGCAAACACAAAAATGGCTAAATGACTGAGCCAGTTTTACAAATATTGTGCTTAAATTTGGTGTGGTAGCTGAGTGTAATCCTTAATGTGTACTCTGAGCACTAACAAATCATGAGATCCATTTTAAAACTTTGGCACTAATAGGGTAAATTATGCATGCCTGTTAGCAAAATATATCTCAAGAACCGTAGAATGGATTTTAGTGAAACATTCTAAAAGTAATTATTAGTGTTAAATCTTTAACTCATTAGTTGAAGATACGCACCTTCACGGCAGGCTCTGCCATCGGGAGGAGCTGTGCAGGAAGGGCTGCAGGAGCAGCAGAGAGCAAAGGGGAGAGACCTGTAAGGTAAGTTTTACATTTTCAGGCTAAGTCCACAGTTTTCTCAAACCTTTGTGATGCTTAATGTATTGAAGTAGCTCTGATATGTAGAGTTTTACCATTATGTTCAGACAAATCACTTTGGGTTTCTGGCAGCTTTGTGCTTTGTGCTAATATTTTTTTTTTTTTTTAAAAGGGCTGCATTTTGCCTGTGGTGCGGACCAGTTGTTGAGTAGGCCTGATGTAACCGTTTGRTGTTTTTCTTCACTTCAAACTCTCTCTGACGGGGTCAGTGGTTGAAATTTATTGCTTCTGACATCTGCAACTGCTCTGAGTGTAGAGGTCAGCTGAACCATACGTGAGGTTCTACTCCCACCCTTTTCAGTTTAATTTCTGATTAATTTCTCCTTCGTGCCTGGAAAACATCCTCCAAGGTTCAATCGTGATTTGGAGGAAGTGGGAGCAGAAAAAGTGGGAAACCGGCTACAAAATAAGGACTATGAACCATTTCTTTTGGCTCATTTCAATAAAGGAAAAATTTGAATGGAGAATATCCATTATTGTACTTATATAGCAATAAACTTTGCACTGCAAAACTCGTAACATATTGCTATCAATGCAGCTATTTTCTTCTGAATGTTATACAACAAAATGGTTCTGAATAACTGTGCTCAAATCTTGCAATAAAAGCCGTAAAACGTGAAAACAGCACTCCTTGAAGGAAAGCCTATTACCCATCTTCTTGCACCTTGGTTGCAAAAATCTTAAGCAAAGACCAAATGTGACATWTCAGTATTGAAATTATGTGTTAGAGATGCCTCTCAGCTACTACCACAACCAAACCAAAGCTCAGTATATGTAGGAGTTTTTTTTTTAGTTTGATTTGATTTGATTTATTGATTTAACAGGAAAATATTACTAACAATCAAGCCTGACTCAGCATAATTGCTGTTTTACAGCAGGTTCCTGGTCTGCAGCACATAAAACACTCAGAAATACAGCATCACAAGAGCCATGTTTGTGTTTACTGTCAACAGACTGATGGACGTCTTGAATCATGCTGCTTTCAAAAGTTAATCAGGTGTAGTTGTACACCTGGCTTGATAATTACTTAATGAGGTWTTCAATCAAATATGTTGGCTGGTTCAAGATATTTTGCTAACATGCAAACAAACAAACAATGAACACTGTAAGGAAAAGCGTCAATAAAAAAGGCTTAAACAAATTTACCGACTATAAACTCAATAAATGTTTTATTTTTCCAGGAAATATCCATAAAAAATTTTTGATTTAGTATCTAATATGTATTAAAATAAATTAAAAAGTATTGTGAAATCTTCAAAAAAAAAAAAGGTTTTTGCCTGCCTCTCACTCACCTGTTTAGTAACATCTGCTTCAGAGTCTGTAGATGGCAGTATCGCTCCACTGGTTACTTCCATCTTTGTTACACAAGGAAATGTTTAATTTCTGTGGGCATGTGAAATGGTTGCTATGCAGTATTTAAAAAAATAGCCGAGATATTTTAGAGGAACTGGATTTTATTGTCGTTGGAGGACCTTTTATAACTGTTTTACCCTCGGCTACATGCTCTGTCATGTTCCTGAAGGGTTCTAAAAGAACCATTTGTGAGAGGATTTTAGGTTTGGTGAAAGGATTGTTTAAATGAATGCCAGTGGTGTAAAAGAGAATTAGCTTTTTTTTTTCTATCTACTAATAATACAAAATATTAGGATGCTGTTTCCCAGACAACCGTTATTGTTTTAACTGAGGAAGCTCATTTCTTCATCGTCATTGTTTTCTCTTTTTATGTGGAATCCAGTTCACTGAAGCACGACGTGCTAAGCAGTAGTTGACCACTTATGGATGTCATTACGTGTATTTTACCACTTATTATTTTCCATAGCAGATGAATCAGCCTGTGTAATGTCCCGTAGAAACTCACAGAATTGCTTTACTCTGCCTCATGAACCGAGACCCTGACAAGCACCGTTATGACTTTAAATCTGTCGGGCAGCAAGAACAAAAGCCATTCTGCTAATTTAGGACTATTTTGTTGGACCTCAAAACTGTGTATGAATGTTCTGTTGCATTTGCCTCAGAAATCATCAACCTACAGTAAAATAGACACAAGAACATAATGTGGAAGTTGAAGTTGAAACAGAACAAGCTGTAGGATGACTGCCTTATTGGTTTATGTGGATCACATATGTCAAACTCAATGCCTGACCACAGGTGACTCCCATGTGGCCCGCCAGGGGTCCCCCCCCACCAAAAAAAAAGAAAAAAATGTCAATAGTGAACTTTAAATTTATGATTAAATGCAAGAAAACAAACTTAAAAGATGAAAGATAATAACAATTGACCTACCCCTGAGCTGTTGGCTTTAGGTAACTGAGCAATTCAGTTGGATAGAACAGTCTGAACTGCTTTAAAGTTGGCATCAACCATAAAGGAAATCTGCCATAATGCATATTAGTTACTCACTAGAAACTCATCAGTGAGAAAAACTTTATTAGTTTTACTTTTAATAGCCACAGCCGATCAGCAGGAATCTGATTACCATAAATCRGAAAATAAACCCATCTTTGACGTTCTCGATGGAAAGTGGGGCRAGGCAGACGAGGTTCCACCKCCAGGACCCAGACACTCTYCCCACCGCTYCAMTTCCACTCGGACAGCTGCGCTCCCCTCGCTCCAATCTCWGWMTGGAAAAAATYGTGTTGATTGCATTCAGAGACCAMTTGACCAAATCCATAATTATTTTGTTATCMAATGATGGGTAGAAGAAAGYCTTGACACAGCTGCAAAGKAGGGAAAGAGGGGCAGGTTCGGGAGAGAGAGCAAAAAGTGTCCGACGACTCTGAAGGCCAAGCAGAAAAAAAATAAAAAATCTGGATTTACTTATAAAAAACACTCCAATTCTTTTTTGGGGAATAGGCTGGACTACAGGTTGCCAGCTAAGCAACTTTATTGCCCATGTCCAGCATTTACTGTGCAGTAGTATGGGTATACCTTGGGTAGGTCACAGAGGATACATACAAACAACCAACCAATCATGCTTTCACTCTCACCTAGTGACAGTTAACCTAGCGTGCGTGTTTTTGGTCTGTGAGATGAAGTCGTAGTATCTGGAGAAAACTCACACATGAAGAGAATACGCAAACTCTACCCAAAGAGTTTGCGTATTCTCTCTGGGTAGAGTTTTGATGTGGCAACCTTTTTGCTGAGAAAGGCAACAGCTCTGCCAACAGAACCACCATGCCACCCTAATTGTTCTTAAAGGGTCACTTTTGTTGGTCCAAAGCCCAAATAAAGGAGGATGGTTGCTGGTTGTGGTCATGACTATAGGGTTGCAAACGGGCAGAAAATGTCCTGTAAATTTCCAGAAAGTTTCCATCGTAAATAAGTTGGGATTTTTTTTTAAATTAACCCTGCAGAAAACTACACAATGGCTTATTACATGCACACAAAAAGTCATGCAAATAAAGTTATGATGTCAATTAGTGACTTTTACCCCCACGGAGGAAAGCCAATAGCTTTCATTTACTGAGAAGTTTGCAACATTGCTTACAGCACAACAATGTCCATAGGTTGGATTTTAGAACAGTAGGTTGGGGTGGGGCTTTGTTACTCAGTTTTAAGTTGCTGCATTACATTTAACTTGACCCCAATCATGTTACGTCACAAAGTTGCATTTGCTAATTGTTGTCCTTATAACCAATCTAACTACAATACAAGCTCATAACGTTGTAATTTTTTATTATATGCCTTTATTCTCTGTTTCTCAAGGTTGTACAGTATTGTGCATGTAATTGGTTTACTAAGAAACAAACTGACAGAAGTTAAAATACAATGTTTAATGTTGCAGCTGTCATTGCCTTTGATGTGCAGGCACCTGACTTTCTGGGTTAAGTTTGAATTCAGGGAAAATTCCTGCTGACATTATTTTA